TTTGCATTGATAGATAATAGTATAAGCACCATCAACATCTAAAGGAACATCATCTATGCAATCCAGTCGACCCTCATTCCAGTCCTGCTAGCACATCATCTTCCTAAATATATATATCCATCAAATAGCACACTTGTGAAGCTAATAACATTTCAGTTTTTTTGTAGGCATTTCACTATACCTCAGGCTGTCATTTGGCATTCTCAGTAAATGTTCGTCGTTCTTTGCTGTTTCTTCAAAGAATGCAGAGTTCTCAAAATAACTGTCATACCAGACTATGTTTGTTGCAACAGCACACACAGCAATTTCCTTTTTTGGAGATAGAAGAATTTCTCTCTCAACAAGAGAAACCTGCCCTAAGCACTCATTTTGGATCGCCGAATTCCTTAACATCTCGACCACAGCATCCTTATCATGGCTGATGCTATCTCCTTGTTCCTGCATTGTACATTATAACATGTGAATTATCTCTATGATTTTGTTTGAGAATTTTCTTGAAGAATTTTTTTTAAGAGGTCTAATTTTAGAGCTGATAGTTGATGCATGTGGGGAAAAAAGAGTTAAGCCCAAAAGATGAACCAAAATTGCGAGCATACAGATATCACATTACCTGCAAACTGACCGGTAACTCCAAACTGGTGCACTGACAACCACAACCATCACTAAAATTGAGCTTAAGGACCAATGTAAATGGTCTTGTTCTAAGCATTTCCCTAGTGCATTGACAAACATGGAGGATAAAAATATATTAGAATCTCCCATGTAAAAACCATTAGACTAAGCAACTAGTAAATTCATAGTTACAAGACCAGAGAAAAGATAGCGGTTCAGTGAATCTACTAGATTTATTTGGTAAAGTGGCTAAATATAGTTTACATCTCCACAAGCAAAGGGCGTTATATTCCACCCTCCAGCACTTACTAAAAACGACAGTACCTTTTAAGCACAAAGGGTTGCTTATGTAAAACAGCTGATTTGAGATCTCGCCTGTCTGAGAAAGAAACCTATGTTGAAAATACATAAGAATTAAATTCAGATTCAAGCTAGAAAAAAGAAAAAAAGTTAAATGGTTGGAAAACAGATAGGTAACTGAAAGCAACTGAAAGACAGTTTTAAAAGATACTCTTTGCACAAAAATTCGAGCAGTAAAATCAACGCTTGGATAAGATTAGTAATAAATCCTACCTCAACTGATTTGATGAATGGCAAAGGAGCTTTGGGTCCAAAAACACTATCAACTCTGAGAGCCCATTTTACATACTTGTTCTCTGTATTGATCCCATGACCCAAAAAGCAATTAGTTATTCCACCAAGTTTTTGGTTTGTGTAACTCAAGCCACAAATGGGAATATGATAAACTGAAGTACATATAAAATCTTGTGCATTTGCACATCCCAACACTTACACAAAATAACGATACTGGTGATCCTGATACCTCAGGAAAAAGGAAAAATCCAAGGTTAAGATTCATAATTGACACTAAGCTTAGTAAGCTTATCACCAAAAAAACTTTGCAGAGGTCCATGTTTAATTGGATAAGAAAAGGATGCAAAAAGCAAGAAATGATACCTGATATTGATAGTCTAGAGAACTGAGTAAGACTAATCTGGAAAAGATCAACTTGAACGTATGGTGGAATCGAAAGATTAAGGTCATGAATAACTCCAGCAATTACCTGTCGTTCAAATTAATCTCTTTGTAGTAAAAAAAATTGTCAACTTGGTCTAGCTGAGTGATGATTTAGCGTGTAGAGTGTAGACACTGTACATATTGTATCTGATTAACTAAACTCACCCTTAAGGACCATATACTGTACATATTATATCTGATTACCTAAACTCATCCTTAAGGACCATATACTGTACATATTAATTCAACTCACCCTCAAGGAAAATATACAGTACATATTTCCTTTCAGAAAATACTCACAAAAATTCACTTATATTAGTTGTAATATAAACATAAACTGCTCTTTGGACTTAAAAGAAACCCTCAAGTATCCAAAACAAGAAATGCAAGAGTATAAATGTCAAAGATAGGCAGTGTCCAAGAATCAAAAGGATTTTCCACCCCTCAACATATAGCTTTAGTGACCAGGAGCGTTGCAGGTCTGTTTATGTTACAATCAGGTTTGAGCCACCCTGAGTAAGTACTAAGCAGAAAGTGCTGAGACTAACTCTACCTTACTGACTATATATGCTTTTATACAAAAAGCCATCCACTTGTTAGTTATTACATAATCCTTATTCTTGATTCTATATCACAACTTGACACTGACAACATCTAACGAGTGCGGTAAGGAATTGCTATAATTATAAATGGCAAACAGCACCAATGATCACATAATTTGTAGTTGCATGAAATTTATTAAGCATTTTATACAAAATTTTAGTACACAAGCACCATTGTTCCACATCAATTCAGAAAATGACATGAGTACCTTATCAACGAGACCATGGATAACCAAACTTGCTTTCTTGTCCTTTGGGGTTGGCTGCAAAATTAAATAAATTCCATAAAGGGTGCAGTCAAGCTAAGACTAGACAATTTATAGAGAAAATGCCTGCACTGAAAATATAGACCTAGAAGAGCAGAGAAGATCGAGCTAATTGAGATACAAAAGCATCCCACCATGCTATACCTCTTGTGGAGTAGACAAAGAACTCCATCCATATTAAACTATTTTCACAAATAGTGTAGCATGATTCACGAAAGAATCATGTAATTGGTTGCATGAAGCATTCATTTGGCCAAGAAATTGCATTATTCTGCATGATCCTGGTGACACATCTCCCTAAATTATGATATAGTTAATGAAAACTCAAATAAAAGGTAAAAGACTGGATAAACAAAATAGGCATTACTTTCACATTTAATAAAACAAAAGACAAACTCAAAATTCTTAGTTTGGGTTCAGTGTAGCCACTAATGCAACCTTAACTTCCTGATCAGCTACACTTAAATATTCAGTCTACATGGGTTGTATGCACAAATCGTGCTTCAGATGCATGAGTAAAAGAAAATGGAGAGAAAAAAATACCTGAAGGTTTACAATTATGATCTTACCCCCACCACGAAGTGTTTTTAAAGGAAGGTTGCAAGCTGGAATTATCTGCAGACTGTATCACAGCAATCTGACTAAGACACTAAAGAGAGAAAAAGGGGAAATACAGAAAAAAAGGATGTTCAAAATCAGATAAATTACATCTAGGAACCTGAATTTTTTAACAGTACAAAACCACAAAGTGATGGGACCCCTTCATCTACTTTTGAAACCATAACATTCAACACATAATGAAGTGGGCAGTTCAACTGCAAACACCTCCACAAGTAATGTATAATACAAAGCAGCAAATGACAGTTTTGTTGCAGATAATAAGATGATATCAACACATATAAAGGAACCCACCTGGTTCCCAAGCATAGTACAACATCTGCCATCCGACAGTGTTGCTCCGCAGGATTCATCTCCGATGTTGGCAAAGCATCCTATGATAAAACGAGGAGTGTCAGCATGAACTTCAACAAGTTACCATAAACCATTTATACAAGTTTACAGATTTCCTAAATCACAGCTAACGCAGATTTTGAAGCAAGCATCATAGTACTTGTCCTCAAAAACAGTGGAACGAAGCAAAGCAACAAACTAGTTTACCTCCCAATCAAGAACGGTGTCATTGAGTCTCACCCCACATTTAACATCAGAACAACGCCGTGGTGTCCTTTTCTTGCCAATAGTTTCTATCTCAAAATCCCGCAAATACCTGCATATAGCAAACTTGATTAAATATCTGAACAATAATAGAAGCTCCACAAAGAGATAGACTGAGAGATTCTGCTGAACAATGAAACCAAAATATTGAGCCACATCATTAGCAGAAAAACAGAATGTAAAATTACTCTGCTCCACAGGATGGGCAAATTTCTCTAAAAGAATTCCCGTGCAACTCTGCAAGTTTCTCCCTTGGTATTCCAGATCGAAGATGGAGGCTATCCACATTCTGAAAGTTTATATGGGGCAGAAAGAATTAAAGAAAAGAGAAAATTGCTGAGCATTGTAAGTTCACATTGCAGTTCCCAGAGGAGGAAAAATATGGAATATGGCATAATATCTTGATAACAAAATGAAGAACTCTAACCTGGCTAATAACAAACTTTAAGATGCCAGCCTTCTCTAGTTCAACCAAAGCCATATGAGTAATACTTGGCATAGCACGATGAAATGGGAGTGATGCATCAGGCACACCTTTGCCTTCACGCTACAACTCAATATATAAGATTGGTATTAACTGCCAAAATATGAGATGCACGTGTGTGTCTATACAGAAAGGCCTTTTCGGTTCCATTTATCCAAACTTAGGAATAAAAAGATAAATGAAAATGGTTCTCACCTGAAGTGTCCAAACTCCTTTGGGACCTCTAAAATCAGGAATACCACATGAAGTTGATATTCCTGCACCTGTAAATGCCACTAGATGCTTACTCTGCAAGCACAGGAAAAGACAACTCAAAAAAGACTTTGTTAATCAATCATGCAGCTCCTATAATTTAAAAAAAAAAAAAAAAAAAAAATTAAAGAAAAAAGAAAGATTCCATAAGCACTAGAGAATAGGGAAGTTAAAGAGTTCCAAACCTGCTTTATCATCGCTGCAAGCTGTGTAATCTGCAATTAAATAGAAAAGAGGTTTGAAATCACAGAATTATAACAAGATTATGAAATTCATTGAAATGAAATTAAAATGACTCAGATTATACAAATCATGTGTAATGCAAAAGTATGACCAGCCCTTGGGACAAGAATTCCCCATGCAAATGGCTTTATGCAACCATATACATTTTTATTAAGAGCAGAAAAGCAACTATATAAATTTGCTTATAATATCTATAGCTAAAAAAATTATTCTAGGAGCTATATAATACAAAATAAATGTGTCATCCTTCACCATGAAAACATAAATAATCTAGAATCATATAGTATAGTCTACAATAATTTTGATCCCAAGCAAACCGTTTGCACATTCTCTTTCGCACCTAGTCCATGATCTTCCTTCTTAGAATCACTTGCCCGACAAACTAATGTACGACAATATTAGATTAAATGAACATTTTGACAGTACCCACAGCAATGAAACCCTAAAATTTCTAATGAACATAAAAAAAGAATACACCTCCGAAATACATTCTTTCTCAACCAAAAAAAAAAAATTAAAAAAAAAAAAAATTAACAAGCAATCTCGCCATTTTAAAGGTGAACATAAAAAAAGCAAATAAACCCATAACAAAACAATCACATTCAAACCCATTTCAGCCCAACAAAAATAATTCCATACAAAACCCGTATATCATGTCACCTCCCAAACACTACTGAGTAATCAACCTGTGTTTAATGTTAAGTTAAAAAAAAAACAAGAAAGCAAGAACAAAACAAAACACAAGAATAAGAGAAGAAAAGCAACATGCAAAAGTAGTTACAAAAACTAGAAAAGACAAGTTAAAAGTGAATAAAAAGGAGTGTACTTTCTGTTGCAATACGTGGGGTGGGTCGAAAATCTCAGACATTCCAACAGAGCCCACATCTTCTCTATAAGAGAGCTTCTCTGCATAACCCAAAGACATGTTTTGTGTGTGTGTTTTGTCAGAATATTTTATGGATTTCTCCTCTCCTTCTTCTTGAGATTATACGGAGAGAGTGAGTGTTAAAATTTAAAAATAAGAGCAAGAGAAGAGGTTGTCTGTGAAGAGCAAGACATACAAATACACACAACACTCCAAAAAGTAATGATGCTCTTAAATCGAGGCGAGAGTACGTCTCTGCGTCTTCAGTCTTCACTTTTCTTAAATGACTTTTTTACCCCCTTCGTTTTATTTGGCTATAAAGTGATAATTGGTTGAAGCGTCATTTGACGTTTCATTTCATCTCAACAAAGTTGTTGTGAGAGAAGAATATCAATCGTCAAGTAAATGAATATTTTCTCTACATGACCCATTATTTGTTATTTGATTGTGATTATTTAAAATACATATGGGTATGAATTTGGTAATTCCTGTTTCTTACTTTTCTCAATATCTTAGAATTTACAGAAGACATCTCCATATATATATGTCAAACATGATTGCCAAATTGCGTGTTGTATGGAAAATTTAATTTTACAAATCGTGTATCGCGTATCATATCGTAGGATATTTAAAAAAAAAATAATAATAATAAATTTTTTTCTAAAAATTAATATCATTTACAAGATTAATTAATGAATTTTGTGATATTATTGACTTTAAATTATAGTATTATATAATCAAAATTAATCATAAAATTAAAAATCTATATCATTTTTTTTCAACCATTTATATTATTTCTAAGATCAATGTCAATATTCATATCTCCACGAGTGTTATTATTAGCATGCAAAGTAGGTAATACATCTTCCTCTCCACTTTCTCCATCTTCTTCACGCATAATGGGCAATATATCTTCTTCATCAACTTTTTCTTTAGCTTTCTTGCTACTAGCATTCAAGTTCCTTGGTCCTATAAGGAAATCATCAAATCATCAATATATATAGTACATTCAATTTTTTATTAAAAGAATTGTTGGATTAACTCTTTTATTGCTAGGAGCTTTCATCTATGTTGAAGCATTCTTGAACATCCATCCATGAATTATCATCGGGTAAGCAAGGATCTTCTTTTTCCATAATCCACTCGTCATCGGATTCTATGTCTGATAAACATATTGGATTAGATGCCTCTCCTTTCTCATCTCTAAGCTTTTGCCTCGTTTCTAATTGAAGTTTATATTTAACAAAGACATGAGCATTCAATCTTTGTTGCTGCTCCAAATGATTCCTTATTTTAGAATGCACATATTCAAAGGTGCTCCAATTTCTTTCACAACCCGTGACATTACATGCAAGGCTTAAAACTTTTATGGCAAGTGTTTGCAACTCTTTGCACTCTTCTCCATAGTTGTCCCACGATAAAGCTGTTTAAAAATAAAAAAGTAACCAACACGTTACAAAAAAAAAAAAAAAAAAAAAAAAAAAAAAAAAAGTAACAAACGTATAAGCAAACATACGCGGTTGTTTTTTGTCTCTTGTTATTATGGTCATATCTATTCCAAATAATCCTACTCCTATTGTAAACTTGTCAAGTTGAGCATCAACTTCAACTCTTGTTTCCACATCCGTATTCATCTTCTCAATTACCTTGTACAATCCATTTTTAACTTCTTTGTCTAGATTGAAGTTTGGATTATAATGGTACCTAATATATAAAATCAACATAAATTAGATTTCTAAATTCAAATTTTCAAGCAATTTTTATGGGTGCGTTTGGTTTAGTATTTTGGATAGGATTTTAGGGATAGTATTGAGTTATTGGATAGAGGAGTATTACGAGGTAAATTTTAAAAATTTGTGAAAAAGCCCTTAGGTTTACTAATTTAACTAAAGACCCTAACATATAAAATGACAAAAACACCCCCACCACCTGCAGTGTCAGATTCCGGCCACCACCGCTGGAATCTGACCGGAAAATTTCGTTACGGTACAGACCTGTCGGATCTGTGCCGTAACACGCCGTTATGGCCTTTTCCGGCCAAATCCATGGTGGATCTGGCCGAAAAAGGCCAGATCTACGGTCTGTTATGGCCGTCGACGGCCGGAAAAGGCCAAACAAGGGCCATCTTTGGCCGTCAGCGACGGCCAAAGATGTGGCCGTCGTTGACCGTCAACGACGGCCAGATCTGGCCTTTTCCGGCCAGATCCGTGGTGGATCTGGCCGGAAAAGGCCACAGCGGTGAACTTCCGGCCATTTCTGGTCAGAAGTTAGGTCGTTTGTACAGATTCCGGCTATCACCGATGGTGGTTGCCGGAATCTGACAAGTTGGGTTGATGGGGGTGTTTTTGTTAATTTTTAAACTTTTTTTAAGGGGGTATTTAGTGAAATTAATAACTTTATGGGGTTAAAATGTAATTAAAAAATAGGGTAATATTTCTGGAATAGTGTGCCAAACATTATTTAGAGAATAGGATCCAGAATAGGGATAAAAATATTAAGCCAAACATGCAGTATATGGATTAGAAAAAAAAAAAGGATCAACACTTACTTAGGATTAAGGTAGTATGTCATTGCATGAAGTGGCCTATGAAGTTGAAAATCCCAACAAGTGTCAATTATCTTCCATATTTCTCTATATCAATGCTCCACATTGTTGAAATTCTTTTGCAATTGATTCTTTGCTCTCCTCATGGCTTCATAGATGTATCCCATTGCTGGTTTCACATCATCGTCTACAAGCCTCAAAACTGAAAAACCCATGAAGAGGTGGCGAAAAAATGATGGAAAGCATGTAAACAAGACATGCAAGCTAAGATATGAATTAAAGGATTAATTTTATTTTTTTTAAATAAAGCATAAATGAACATTATACCTTCTCTTAGAGCTTAGGTTTGATGAAGCCAAGATTCAAAGCTATGAACCCTCCACACTTAACACCACCTTGAGAGAAAGAGAGGGTGGCCAAACCTAAGAGAGAACTTGTGTTTTTCTTTTAAGTGTACAATGAACAACTTAATCTAAAATGCAACTTTTTGCATTTATATATACACGGGTTATTGTATAATTACTTATTTTCACTTGCATGCCCTAATAAAATCTTATTCTAAAAAGAGTTCAAGCATTTAGTAATTTAGTCTTTGAATAATCAATTTTATTTAAGGGCTCATGTAAACTACACTAGTTTACATTAACAACTGTAAGTTTATCTTTTTGCCCTTTAACTATTAAAAGTTATTAGATATCTTAATTAAATACAATTAATTATTGCTTGACCATTTTAATCTTTAAAATGTCACGAATAATTTTTTATGTAACAATTACCATAGAAATCATGTCATTACCCTTGGAAGGTGCTAGCCATCTTCGGATAATAATTTCTCTCTCTTATTCTTTTCTAACTTCTCAAGGCTATCGGTGTGACCATGTAGGTCCACCGTGGATTAGCTATGAGCCAGTTTCGGATGAATCCAGAAACTTGTTCGGAGGCTCCACGACTATGGTAAACATCTAGTAATGTACCATAGTTCCTAAACCACGATGAAGAAATACTTCATCGAACCCTTTTGAGATTATATGTATCATGCAAGTAAAGTCCTTCCATTGATATATATTGATCGAGTACTGATTTATGGAACATCAAAATCCTAAACTTGATCTTTTATCGAATTGTCGATCACTATGTCCGAAACTTGTCATCACAAACTTACTTTCCTGTGACTAATAATATACTCTGGCTAGAGGTTTTTGGTTTCCGAAATTTATTGACATTCATCCACGAACCTAGGTCCGGATGGAGTTAACGGTACTCCTAATCCTATATTTCCTAGTCAATGGATCCCGTTTTGATCATCGTTTGTTTCCTCATATGAACAACGCTTGACCAAATAGGCTTTATCATACGAAACATGACTAGTCTCGTACTTATACACCATATGAATCATATGCATCCGTATCGAATCTGACCACGATGTCTTAAGTCAAAGGACTATATCGTGCACTGATATAACCAAACAATAAATCATTGATTACATGCTTTTTCAAGTGATTTATCGTTATTCGGTCATGTTTGAAAAACAGTTCACCAACCGCTAATCCATACTAATGCCCCAATGACATGACTATTATCATCATTTGTACTTGTATCAACTCATGATATCTTTCGGAAGCATCTAGTATGCCTACTATGCAATATAGTTGCCCAAATAATATTGCTTCCGTAGGGAACATTTTGATAAATTCATTTACCAATTAAATGAATCATCTAGACAATTCATATATATACTTTATTTTAAATGCATGATTGAATAAAGGAAACATATATTGATACAAGACAAAATGCTCTGAAACCGACAACACGAATGGTTTCTAGGAGATACACTAACAAAAACCTCCACTAGTGGATCCACACATTTCAAGGGAAATTGTATGGATTTCCAAAACTTGTATCACTCAAGATAATATCCACCACTTTGTTCCCCTTAACTGTAGTAGCATGTGTACTATTTGCCTATTCTTCCAATGCAAACATGGACCTAAGAGCTAGTTTACTATCCATAATGCAACTCAATGTGAGAAAAAAGGTTGCAAATCTCGTTACTGCCAGTCTTGCTAGCTTTTTATCCTTTGAAATTTTTCTATATAAATTAAGTACCCATGTATGCCTATAAATGAAACTTGTGACTTGCTTGGCTTTTGCAATGGTATCACAGAATACTAGAATCTTTCAAATATCCTCAAGAATCAAGTCAAGACAATGAGCTGCACAAGGAGACCAAAATAGTTTTCTCCTTTTCTCTTCTAACATTCTATCGATAGCTACATAATTGGATGCCCCATTAGTTACCACTTTTACAATACGCTCTTCTCCTATCTCCCCCACAATAGTATCAGGTAACTCAAACATTTTTTTGAGCATTTTTATAAATTCGGAGGTATCAATAGATTTCAAAAAAACTGTCCCGCTTGGACTATTAACAAGAAAGTTAGTCAATGATCTACCATTTCCATCCGTCCACTCATCCGACATTAATGTGCAACCATTCTTTTTCCACTCATTTTTA